GCGCGACGAGCCGCGCGTTGTCCGGGAGATGCGCCGCGAAAAACGGCCCGGATAAGGCGTCGATGATCGCTACGGCGGACCGCTTTCCGAACATGCTGGGCCTGAGAGTGAGGAGGGAGGGGATGGGGCGAGAGGGGAGACGAAGAGGAGAATGAAGCACGCGGAAAGTAAAGGGGGGGAGAGAGGAAAGCAGGGCGGAGGAAAGAAGGGGCAAGTGAGATAAGGTGCAGCGCATTTCACGCTGCAAAAAGGGGGAGGGGAAAACGGCGCGCAGCGTACTTGGCGGAGACGAATACGCGGTGCGGCGAGAGCTGCTTGGCGATCTCCAGCAGCCCCGCCTTGCGGTCGTCGTTGCGCACGACGATGATGCCCACGTCCGCCTGATGCGGCGAGAGAGGGGGGAGAAGAGAAGGAAGGGAGGAGAAGGGAGGATGGAGTGAGAAGCAAGGGTGAGAAAGGACCTCCGGTAGCCCCGCCTGCGGTCGTCGTTGCGCACGACGATGATGTCCACCTCCGCCTGATGGGGGGGGGGGGGGGGAGGGAGGGGGAGGGGGAGGGGGGGGGGGAAGGGGGAAAAGAATGGCCTTCGGCAACCCCGCCTTGCGGTCGTCGTTACGCACGACGAAGAGGGACGGGGGGGGAACGGTGAAGGGGAACGGAGGAAGGGAGGAAGAAATGCTTTACTCTAAACCCCACAGCCGACCGTTGCACCTCCCGCACAGTCGCCACTCGAGAAGGCGGAATAGAAACAGTTCGAAAACGGAAAAAAAAAAAAAAAAAATCACTCGTGAAATGCATCTGACAGCAGTTAATACCTCGTTGGTGCGCGCGAACTTGACGAGCGGGTCGAGCAGCAGCGCGCGCATGTTCTTCTCGTGCGTGTCCGCCGTCATCGGGCTGACCTCGCTGATGGGCAGCCGCATCATGTCGCCTGGCATGTCAGCCATAGAATAAGGGACCGGCAAAGCAGATAGGGGACATAGGAGCAGGAAAGAAGGGGGTAAGTGGCGGTACGAGATGGTCGTAAGATGCGCGGCACGGTCCGATCCGAAGCCGCCACGGAATCCGTCAGCTCCTGATAGAACTCAAATTCCGTCTCCGTCGCGGGCCATAGACTACACATGAGGCCGGGCCTCGAGATCACCGTAGGCTCGCGCGACTCAAGACCCGCGCAGCGAATGCGGCTTGGATTCATCCCCAGCAACGCAGGCTTACGATCGACGGAGATGTGCGTAAGCACGTGCACAAGGTGGATGCGCGCCGATTTCGTCGCGCAGCTCATACGCCACTCCGCAATGGCGAACGCCAGCGCATCTTCGCTGAGGCTCAACGAACCATCGCGCGCCTCCACCAGCCACGCCGCCATCGCCGCCGCCAGTGTTCCGGGGCGCCGCTGCTGGTGCTGGGGAGGAGACTGCTCCTCCTCGATCTCCATTTCTCCACGTTTGATAGCCACGATGTGATTCGACGACTCCGAAAAATGCGGCGTATGATGCGGTGGCAGACACGACAATCCCCCACCTAAAAAACAGTACTAGGATCACAATGCGAAGCTGAACGGAATCGTTTTGTGAACTATTCGTGATTGTACTCGGGAGCGGGCTTGAGAGAGCTTCGTGTACTTTTAGTTGCAAAACGCTTAGTAACTGAACTTGAATCGTGTGGCTGAGCATTACAGTACAGGGTCCGTCTCACACAAAATTGGACGATTCAATGTAAAATCTTTCGGAGTGGACGGTGGTGGAATCAAACAAATACTACACGCTGAAAGATTTCACATCGACACAATGGACTGTGGCTGCCTTCGTACAGTCACAGTCCATTCGAAGACAGTGTTGGCTGACTTGTTCTCCTCGCATTGTGAGGTGGGGCAATGGCTAGGTGGAATGTCGTGCGACAGAAGCGTGACTTCCGCGAGCAGCGTGCCTGCTTCGTGAAGAAATGAGGTCCTGGTATTGGTGGCTGAAAGGGTTTTGGATGGTTTGGGATGGGTGTACTAGGCAGATGTGTACGAATTTGTGCAGCGCTTCAGTGCTAGGCTGGGTATTCGTCTTTGGCTGGAATTGCTTTGGCTGTTTGCCAGGGACAATCAATGTTAGGGTGCGATGTGGAAGGCAAGGGAAAAGGGGCGGTGGGAAGGATGGCGGCGCGAACGTGTACCTCAGGTCTGCTTCGAACGCGCGCTTCGATAAAACCAAGAAGGCAAGACTGTCCTTGGCTCGGCAGTGACAATAGCTTCGAGGTTTCGACGGCAGGATTTCATTATATTAAGTCAATCATTCCACGTGTCAGTATACACAGCTCCGATGTCATCGTGGCAGCAAAAGTGTTGTAAGCCTGAGAGAATATTCCCTTGGCTCGACAGAATTCGGCACCAAGCCGCAGGTACGGTGAACGCATTTCTTCCCACCCAACTGACCAGTCCTGTCGATTGACGGGCATATTCCCTTAATGCCCTGCAATTCCGGGCTACTTTTTCTACAGCTCGACTGCATAAAGTGTTAGGATCGCCCTGCACCCGTGCCACTAAGTGCTTCGTTCGACCCTTCCCCGGATGCGTTAAGTGCTCCAACCAGGCCCCCCCACCCAGTCTTGATTTCCGGTTCTAGGACCCCCCCCCCCCCCCCCCCGAGAAATTCTGCCTGACCCCCCCACTCCCCCCCCCCCCCCTTCTCCTTATGTTGCACGAGAGCGCGCCAAGGGGATTTTTCCCTTAGCGTTTTCTAGCCAATCCCGTGTTTGTGATAACTCTAAGTCATTTTGGAGCAGTCGAACTTTCCCTTATCTAAGATAGTGTCAGGACGTGGGCCCAATCGACTTTGATCGGCGCGATCAGAGGCGATCAAAACCTTCGAGGAAGGCGGGAAGCAGATTTCAGGCAATCAGGGGCAATCAGCTGATCGCGATCAGCTGATCGCGCCAACTCAATCAACCGCCTCAAACAGCCCGATCAGACCCGATCAGACACAATCAGCCCCAATCACTTGATTGCATGTGATCGTCGACCTGGGCGATGTACGCGAAATGTAACACAACTCGCCATGAGGTCTCGAAAATCCTTGCGAGTACACCCAGATCGGCGAGAACTAAGTGTTGGGACATGATGTTGGCGACATTACCATGATACTGAGATTCGTCCGTATCGCCAAATTTGGGATGCAACTACCAGGTAATGGGCCGACAGTTTTCATGCAAGAGCATAAAACATTCGAGGAAAATCATCTCTGATCGGGCGGCGCGAGAAAAACGATCACAAGCAATCCGATCCGACCCAAACCGATCCGATCAGAGCCGATCAAAGTCGATTGGGCCCACATCCTAAGTGCAAGCCCGGATATCAAGTTTCCACTTTGGCCTGCGCCCGTGACCGTTAAGGGCGCCAAAACACTCAGCTACGGCCAAAACAGGGTCAGATAGGGAGGAGCTGGGGACTCCAAGTATGGGCCCCAGGAACTTCGACAGGCCTGGACCTGACATAATAGAACTTGCCAAGGGGCCCAGCCAGCCCTGGCTCGGCGGGATGCCCCATTGTACTCCTGTACCTCCCGTCTTCCATTCGAATATGCCTCTGGACGGACCTTTCCAGCAGGGACATTGCCACGTTATATCAAAGCTGCTGCTGCTGCAACTAGGAATGGAAATGGGGTTGCACCAAAATATCGAAAGATGGGGATGTTGTTGGCCCCTCGCAGTTGCAGGGGCCACAAAACGACGACAAAACGACAAGAAGATACAACCAAGGCCGAACTTTTCATGAAATACATTTAACAAAATACAGAACAAAAGATGCTACAGAAATAGTTTTCCAGGAACATAAAGATGGTACAAAAAAAACCCCAAATTGATGTGTGAAAAACCAAACAAATAAGAATGCAGTACGTGCTCATCAGCAGTTTGTAATCGTACATTCACGATTAGATTATATATCAAAACACAGCATGCATATGCGTGCGTGTGTGCGTGTGCGTGCATGCGGGTGAGTGTGTGCGAATACGTATACATGTGCATGCACATGTGCATGTGCATGTGCATGTACTTGTGCTTGTGCATGCACACATGTACGCATGTGCAAAGTGAGACTGTCGGGAGGGATGGGCGGGTATTTAATATTGGAAACAAAGTGACTTAAAGCTCAAGGCCCAAATTGTTCAACCTTACTAAGGTTGCCCTTTGGGTGGTGGGAGAGTAAGGTTGACTTTGTTGAAGTTGGGCTGTTTAGTTTCGCCCAGCTTCTCGCTACACCCTTAGGGTTTTCGCTGACTCAACAAACCCCAGGGAGAAACTCGGTTTGGTTCTCGAGTCCCAAATTGCACTCACAATATTCTTGGTGTTTCCTTCTCTCCTATTCGACCAAAAAACTGTTGGCCAATCAAATTGCATCGCACTTCACGTAACCACAATTCGCAGCCAAACAACACTCAAAACATCACCTTCATCAACTTCAGTAATCTTGCCCCGCGCGCTCTGCAATTTGGGCTCTGCAATCTGATGTGTCGAAACACTAAACTGCAAGCGAAGCAAACTACAACGAAGCAACGGCGAGTCAACGATAGGAGGTTGACAGAAAACGTAACCGCTGGAGGTTACGCGAAGGTCAAAGGTCGCTGACCTTCGACTTGACAAATACAGTGCGACAACAATGACAAACAACTGACTCGATACTGAGCAGTTGCCCGAGTCGTCACTGTATCGAACCGCAACAGCAACAGTAAAACAGTTATCAGTTACAACCTTTCATATTCCTTGTAATCTTATAAAAGGCTTGTACTACTTTCTTATAATCAATCTACTTTGCCCTCACATACCAGCGCAAGGTGGTTCAGTACTTGTCATTAAACACTTCCGCAAACTACAACATTCCTACTCAGAGTTTAGCCTTGCAAAGATCCTAAGGGCTTTTCTCAGCCCAACATTGAAAACGCGTCCTTCGGATCGTTTATGCACACACACACTCACTAGGACATAACTATATTCAGCCTTACCGATCACTACACCGATCAATGTGCCCATCACCGTCCAAACCACCCTCCAACGCAGCCACCTCTCGACCAATCACATCCGATAAATCCTCCACCTTAACCAGTAACCGCTGTAACCGCAAGCCCATGCCATCCAGCCTATCATGCACCTTCTGCAGCCGCGCCCTCTGCTTCTCCGCTCCCCCTCCCCCGGGTTCTAAAGGGATGCAGGGGTTGATGAGGGGATCGAAGGGGAGGCTCACAGCCCACTGGGGACTCGCTGCTTTCAGCCTGAGAGGTGGTGCATGAGGCAATGGGGATGAAGGGAAAGAGGAAGACAGGGGGATGCAGGAAAGAATTGGGAGAGGGGTGAAGGGACAGCCGCGCCCTCTGCTTCTCCACACCCCCCCCGCCAGGCTCCAAGGAACTGCAGGGGCTGATGAGGGGATCGAAGGGGAGGCTCACGGCCCACTGGGGACTCGCTGCTTTGATTCTGAGAAGCAGCAGGTGGAGAGGGAGATGCAGAGGGGTGCAGAGGGTTAAGGGAAGCAGTTCCCTCGCCGCCAGGCTCCAAGGGGCAGCAGGGGCTGATGAGCGGGTCGAAGGGGAGGCTGGCGGCCCACTGGGGACTCGCTGCTTTCAACCTGCAGGAGAGCACAGGGTACGGTAGAGGAGGTGGAAAGAAGAACACTGTACCCTCTGCTTCTCCGCTCCCCCTCCCCCAGGCTCCAAGGGGCAGCCGGGGCTGATGAGCGGGTCGAAGGGGAGGCTGGCGGCCCACTGGGGACTCGCTGCTTTCAACCTGCAGGAGAGCACAGGGTACGGGAGAGGAGGTGGAAAGAAGAACACTGTACCCTCTGCTTCTCCGCTCCCCCTCCCCCAGGCTCCAAGGGGCAGCCGGGGCTGATGAGCGGGTCGAAGGGGAGGCTGGCGGCCCACTGGGGACTCGCTGCTTTCAACCTGCAGGAGAGCACAGGGTACGGGAGAGGAGGTGGAAAGAAGAACACTGTACCCTCTGCTTCTCCGCTCCCCCTCCCCCAGGCTCCAAGGGGCAGCCGGGGCTGATGAGCGGGTCGAAGGGGAGGCTGGCGGCCCACTGGGGACTCGCTGCTTTCAACCTGCAGGAGAGCACAGGGTACGGGAGAGGAGGTGGAAAGAAGAACACTGTACCCTCTGCTTCTCCGCTCCCCCTCCCCCAGGCTCCAAGGGGCAGCCGGGGCTGATGAGCGGGTCGAAGGGGAGGCTGGCGGCCCACTGGGGACTCGCTGCTTTCAACCTGCAGGAGAGCACAGGGTACGGGAGAGGAGGTGGAAAGAAGAACACTGTACCCTCTGCTTCTCCGCTCCCCCTCCCCCAGGCTCCAAGGGGCAGCCGGGGCTGATGAGCGGGTCGAAGGGGAGGCTGGCGGCCCACTGGGGACTCGCTGCTTTCAACCTGCAGGAGAGCACAGGGTACGGGAGAGGAGGTGGAAAGAAGAACACTGTACCCTCTGCTTCTCCGCTCCCCCTCCCCCAGGCTCCAAGGGGCAGCCGGGCCTGATGAGCGGGTCGAAGGGGAGGCTGGCGGCCCACTGGGGACTCGCTGCTTTCAACCTGCAGGAGAGCACAGGGTACGGGAGAGGAGGTGGAAAGAAGAACACTGTACCCTCTGCTTCTCCGCTCCCCCTCCCCCAGGCTCCAAGGGGCAGCCGGGGCTGATGAGCGGGTCGAAGGGGAGGCTGGCGGCCCACTGGGGACTCGCTGCTTTCAACCTGCAGGAGAGCACAGGGTACGGGAGAGGAGGTGGAAAGAAGAACACTGTACCCTCTGCTTCTCCGCTCCCCCTCCCCCAGGCTCCAAGGGGCAGCCGGGGCTGATGAGCGGGTCGAAGGGGAGGCTGGCGGCCCACTGGGGACTCGCTGCTTTCAACCTGCAGGAGAGCACAGGGTACGGGAGAGGAGGTGGAAAGAAGAACACTGTACCCTCTGCTTCTCCGCTCCCCCTCCCCCAGGCTCCAAGGGGCAGCCGGGGCTGATGAGCGGGTCGAAGGGGAGGCTGGCGGCCCACTGGGGACTCGCTGCTTTCAACCTGCAGGAGAGCACAGGGTACGGGAGAGGAGGTGGAAAGAAGAACACTGTACCCTCTGCTTCTCCGCTCCCCCTCCCCCAGGCTCCAAGGGGCAGCCGGGGCTGATGAGCGGGTCGAAGGGGAGGCTGGCGGCCCACTGGGGACTCGCTGCTTTCAACCTGCAGGAGAGCACAGGGTACGGGAGAGGAGGTGGAAAGAAGAACACTGTACCCTCTGCTTCTCCGCTCCCCCTCCCCCAGGCTCCAAGGGGCAGCCGGGGCTGATGAGCGGGTCGAAGGGGAGGCTGGCGGCCCACTGGGGACTCGCTGCTTTCAACCTGCAGGAGAGCACAGGGTACGGGAGAGGAGGTGGAAAGAAGAACACTGTACCCTCTGCTTCTCCGCTCCCCCTCCCCCAGGCTCCAAGGGGCAGCCGGGGCTGATGAGCGGGTCGAAGGGGAGGCTGGCGGCCCACTGGGGACTCGCTGCTTTCAACCTGCAGGAGAGCACAGGGTACGGGAGAGGAGGTGGAAAGAAGAACACTGTACCCTCTGCTTCTCCGCTCCCCCTCCCCCAGGCTCCAAGGGGCAGCCGGGGCTGATGAGCGGGTCGAAGGGGAGGCTGGCGGCCCACTGGGGACTCGCTGCTTTCAACCTGCAGGAGAGCACAGGGTACGGGAGAGGAGGTGGAAAGAAGAACACTGTACCCTCTGCTTCTCCGCTCCCCCTCCCCCAGGCTCCAAGGGGCAGCCGGGGCTGATGAGCGGGTCGAAGGGGAGGCTGGCGGCCCACTGGGGACTCGCTGCTTTCAACTTGCAGGAGAGCACAGGGTACGGGAGAGGAGGTGGAAAGAAGAACACTGTACCCTCTGCTTCTCCGCTCCCCCTCCCCCAGGCTCCAAGGGGCAGCCGGGGCTGATGAGCGGGTCGAAGGGGAGGCTGGCGGCCCACTGGGGACTCGCTGCTTTCAACTTGCAGGAGAGCACAGGGTACGGGAGAGGAGGTGGAAAGAAGAACACTGTACCCTCTGCTTCTCCGCTCCCCCTCCCCCAGGCTCCAAGGGGCAGCCGGGGCTGATGAGCGGGTCGAAGGGGAGGCTGGCGGCCCACTGGGGACTCGCTGCTTTCAACCTGCAGGAGAGCACAGGGTACGGGAGAGGAGGTGGAAAGAAGAACACTGTACCCTCTGCTTCTCCGCTCCCCCTCCCCCAGGCTCCAAGGGGCAGCCGGGGCTGATGAGCGGGTCGAAGGGGAGGCTGGCGGCCCACTGGGGACTCGCTGCTTTCAACCTGCAGGAGAGCACAGGGTACGGGAGAGGAGGTGGAAAGAAGAACACTGTACCCTCTGCTTCTCCGCTCCCCCTCCCCCAGGCTCCAAGGGGCAGCCGGGCCTGATGAGCGGGTCGAAGGGGAGGCTGGCGGCCCACTGGGGACTCGCTGCTTTCAACCTGCAGGAGAGCACAGGGTACGGGAGAGGAGGTGGAAAGAAGAACACTGTACCCTCTGCTTCTCCGCTCCCCCTCCCCCAGGCTCCAAGGGGCAGCCGGGGCTGATGAGCGGGTCGAAGGGGAGGCTGGCGGCCCACTGGGGACTCGCTGCTTTCAACCTGCAGGAGAGCACAGGGTACGGGAGAGGAGGTGGAAAGAAGAACACTGTACCCTCTGCTTCTCCGCTCCCCCTCCCCCAGGCTCCAAGGGGCAGCCGGGGCTGATGAGCGGGTCGAAGGGGAGGCTGGCGGCCCACTGGGGACTCGCTGCTTTCAACCTGCAGGAGAGCACAGGGTACGGGAGAGGAGGTGGAAAGAAGAACACTGTACCCTCTGCTTCTCCGCTCCCCCTCCCCCAGGCTCCAAGGGGCAGCCGGGGCTGATGAGCGGGTCGAAGGGGAGGCTGGCGGCCCACTGGGGACTCGCTGCTTTCAACCTGCAGGAGAGCACAGGGTACGGGAGAGGAGGTGGAAAGAAGAACACTGTACCCTCTGCTTCTCCGCTCCCCCTCCCCCAGGCTCCAAGGGGCAGCCGGGGCTGATGAGCGGGTCGAAGGGGAGGCTGGCGGCCCACTGGGGACTCGCTGCTTTCAACCTGCAGGAGAGCACAGGGTACGGGAGAGGAGGTGGAAAGAAGAACACTGTACCCTCTGCTTCTCCGCTCCCCCTCCCCCAGGCTCCAAGGGGCAGCCGGGGCTGATGAGCGGGTCGAAGGGGAGGCTGGCGGCCCACTGGGGACTCGCTGCTTTCAACCTGCAGGAGAGCACAGGGTACGGGAGAGGAGGTGGAAAGAAGAACACTGTACCCTCTGCTTCTCCGCTCCCCCTCCCCCAGGCTCCAAGGGGCAGCCGGGGCTGATGAGCGGGTCGAAGGGGAGGCTGGCGGCCCACTGGGGACTCGCTGCTTTCAACCTGCAGGAGAGCACAGGGTACGGGAGAGGAGGTGGAAAGAAGAACACTGTACCCTCTGCTTCTCCGCTCCCCCTCCCCCAGGCTCCAAGGGGCAGCCGGGGCTGATGAGCGGGTCGAAGGGGAGGCTGGCGGCCCACTGGGGACTCGCTGCTTTCAACCTGCAGGAGAGCACAGGGTACGGGAGAGGAGGTGGAAAGAAGAACACTGTACCCTCTGCTTCTCCGCTCCCCCTCCCCCAGGCTCCAAGGGGCAGCCGGGGCTGATGAGCGGGTCGAAGGGGAGGCTGGCGGCCCACTGGGGACTCGCTGCTTTCAACCTGCAGGAGAGCACAGGGTACGGGAGAGGAGGTGGAAAGAAGAACACTGTACCCTCTGCTTCTCCGCTCCCCCTCCCCCAGGCTCCAAGGGGCAGCCGGGGCTGATGAGCGGGTCGAAGGGGAGGCTGGCGGCCCACTGGGGACTCGCTGCTTTCAACCTGCAGGAGAGCACAGGGTACGGGAGAGGAGGTGGAAAGAAGAACACTGTACCCTCTGCTTCTCCGCTCCCCCTCCCCCAGGCTCCAAGGGGCAGCCGGGGCTGATGAGCGGGTCGAAGGGGAGGCTGGCGGCCCACTGGGGACTCGCTGCTTTCAACCTGCAGGAGAGCACAGGGTACGGGAGAGGAGGTGGAAAGAAGAACACTGTACCCTCTGCTTCTCCGCTCCCCCTCCCCCAGGCTCCAAGGGGCAGCCGGGGCTGATGAGCGGGTCGAAGGGGAGGCTGGCGGCCCACTGGGGACTCGCTGCTTTCAACCTGCAGGAGAGCACAGGGTACGGGAGAGGAGGTGGAAAGAAGAACACTGTACCCTCTGCTTCTCCGCTCCCCCTCCCCCAGGCTCCAAGGGGCAGCCGGGGCTGATGAGCGGGTCGAAGGGGAGGCTGGCGGCCCACTGGGGACTCGCTGCTTTCAACCTGAGATGTGGTGCATGGGGCATGGGAAGGAGGTAGGACGAGAGCTGAGAGGAGGTGTACAGTCGCAAGCCCACGCCATCCAGCCTATCCTGCACCTTCTGCAGCCGCGCCCTCTGCTTCTCCGCACCCCCCCCTCCAGGCTCCAAGGGACTGTGGGGGCTGATGAGCGGGTCGAAGGGGAGGCTCACGGCCCACTGGGGACTCGCTGCTTTAAACCTGAGAGGTGGTGCATCCAGCAGGGGGTTAAGGGGGAGTATGGGGGTAGCAGGCTGCAGGGGCTGATGAGCGGGTCAAAGGGGAGGCTGACAGCCCACTGGGGACTCGCTGCTTTCAGCCTGAGGTAAATGGGGTGGGGGGCATGGGGATGCAGTAGGACAGTCACCTCATTTACTTCTCCGCACCCCGCCCTCCAGGCTCCAAGGGGTAGCAGGGGCTGATGAGCGGGTCGAAGGGGAGGGTGACGGCCCACTGGGGACTCGCTGCCTTCAGCCTGAGAGACAGCAGGTGGAGAGGGAGATGCAGAGGGGGTGCAGAGAGGTTAAGGGAAGCAACCCCCCCCTCTACAGGCTCCAAGGGGAGGCATGGGCTGATGGGCGGGTCGAAGGGGAGGCTCACTGCCCACTGGGGACTCGCCGCCTTGAGCCTGAGGGGGATGGGGTAGAAGAGGTGCAGGGGGGATGTAAGGGCAGCACAGGCTGATGAGCGGGTCGAAGGGGAGGCTCAGTGGGGACTCGCTGCTTTGAGCTTGAGACACCTTCTGCGGGCTGTCTCGTCTGCTTCCTCCCACCTGTCACGGCAACCACACTGCTTGTATGCTGTTGCCTGTTACCCACCTTACCAGGTCACCCACTCACTTCGCCTGGCAACCCAATCTCACTCACCTCTATTTCACCCCCACCACTGCCTGGGACCTGCTGTCTGCTTCCTACTTCTCTCACAGCAACCACACTGCCTGTACGTGTCACCTGTTACCCACTTTGCGAGGTCACCTATGGGGCTCGTCAACCCCTGCTACCTATGGGGGTATGAAGGGGGTAAGGGGCAGCAGGGGCTGACGAGCGGGTCAAAGGGGAGGCTCACGGCCCACTGGCAACTCATTGCTTTCAGCCTGCGAGGTGGTGCATCCAGCAAGGGGTATGCGCACCTCGCTCTCACGGCAACCACAGCAAGGGATCTGTTACGTATCTGAATTGTCACCCCTTACCCATCAAGAAGAACAACCACTTTGCCTAACCAACCACTCTCACCTCTCTTTCACCTCCGCCACTCCCTGCGAGCACCATCTGTTACGTATCTGAATTGTCACCCCTTACCCATCAAGAAGAACAACCACTTTGCCTAACCAACCACTCTCACCTCTCTTTCACCTCCGCCACTCCCTGCGAGCACCATCTGTTACGTATCTGAATTGTCACCCCTTACCCATCAAGAAGAACAACCACTTTGCCTAACCAACCACTCTCACCTCTCTTTCACCTCCGCCACTCCCTGCGAGCACCATCTGTTACGTATCTGAATCGTCACCCCTTACCCATCAAGAAGAACAACCACTTTGCCTAACCAACCACTCTCACCTCTCTTTCACCTCCGCCACTCCCTGCGAGCACCATCTGTTACGTACCTGAATTGTCACCCCTTACCCATCAAGAAGAACAACCACTTTGCCTAACCAACCACTCTCACCTCTCTTTCACCTCCGCCACTCCCTGCGAGCACCATCTGTTACGTATCTGAATTGTCACCCCTTACCCATCAAGAAGAACAACCACTTTGCCTAACCAACCACTCTCACCTCTCTTTCACCTCCGCCACTCCCTGCGAGCACCATCTGTTACGTATCTGAATTGTCACCCCTTACCCATCAAGAAGAACAACCACTTTGCCTAACCAACCACTCTCACCTCTCTTTCACCTCCGCCACTCCCTGCGAGCACCATCTGTTACGTATCTGAATTGTCACCCCTTACCCATCAAGAAGAACAACCACTTTGCCTAACCAACCACTCTCACCTCTCTTTCACCTCCGCCACTCCCTGCGAGCACCATCTGTTACGTATCTGAATTGTCACCCCTTACCCATCAAGAAGAACAACCACTTTGCCTAACCAACCACTCTCACCTCTCTTTCACCTCCGCCACTCCCTGCGAGCACCATCTGTTACGTATCTGAATCGTCACCCCTTACCCATCAAGAAGAACAACCACTTTGCCTAACCAACCACTCTCACCTCTCTTTCACCTCCGCCACTCCCTGCGAGCACCATCTGTTACGTACCTGAATTGTCACCCCTTACCCATCAAGAAGAACAACCACTTTGCCTAACCAACCACTCTCACCTCTCTTTCACCTCCGCCACTCCCTGCGAGCACCATCTGTTACGTATCTGAATTGTCACCCCTTACCCATCAAGAAGAACAACCACTTTGCCTAACCAACCACTCTCACCTCTCTTTCACCTCCGCCACTCCCTGCGAGCACCATCTGTTACGTATCTGAATTGTCACCCCTTACCCATCAAGAAGAACAACCACTTTGCCTAACCAACCACTCTCACCTCTCTTTCACCTCCGCCACTCCCTGCGAGCACCATCTGTTACGTATCTGAATTGTCACCCCTTACCCATCAAGAAGAACAACCACTTTGCCTAACCAACCACTCTCACCTCTCTTTCACCTCCGCCACTCCCTGCGAGCACCATCTGTTACGTATATGAATTGTCACCCCTTACCCATCAAGAAGAACAACCACTTTGCCTAACCAACCACTCTCACCTCTCTTTCACCTCCGCCACTCCCTGCGAGCACCATCTGTTACGTATCTGAATTGTCACCCCTTACCCATCAAGAAGAACAACCACTTTGCCTAACCAACCACTCTCACCTCTCTTTCACCTCCGCCACTCCCTGCGAGCACCATCTGTTACGTATCTGAATTGTCACCCCTTACCCATCAAGAAGAACAACCACTTTGCCTAACCAACCACTCTCACCTCTCTTTCACCTCCGCCACTCCCTGCGAGCACCATCTGTTACGTATCTGAATTGTCACCCCTTACCCATCAAGAAGAACAACCACTTTGCCTAACCAACCACTCTCACCTCTCTTTCACCTCCGCCACTCCCTGCGAGCACCATCTGTTACGTATCTGAATCGTCACCCCTTACCCATCAAGAAGAACAACCACTTTGCCTAACCAACCACTCTCACCTCTCTTTCACCTCCGCCACTCCCTGCGAGCACCATCTGTTACGTATCTGAATTGTCACCCCTTACCCATCAAGAAGAACAACCACTTTGCCTAACCAACCACTCTCACCTCTCTTTCACCTCCGCCACTCCCTGCGAGCACCATCTGTTACGTATCTGAATTGTCACCCCTTACCCATCAAGAAGAACAACCACTTTGCCTAACCAACCACTCTCACCTCTCTTTCACCTCCGCCACTCCCTGCGAGCACCATCTGTTACGTATCTGAATTGTCACCCCTTACCCATCAAGAAGAACAACCACTTTGCCTAACCAACCACTCTCACCTCTCTTTCACCTCCGCCACTCCCTGCGAGCACCATCTGTTACGTATCTGAATCGTCACCCCTTACCCATCAAGAAGAACAACCACTTTGCCTAACCAACCACTCTCACCTCTCTTTCACCTCCGCCACTCCCTGCGAGCGCCATCTGTTACGTACCTGAATTGTCACCCCTTACCCATCAAGAAGAACAACCACTTTGCCTAACCAACCACTCTCACCTCTCTTTCACCTCCGCCACTCCCTGCGAGCACCATCTGTTACGTATCTGAATTGTCACCCCTTACCCATCAAGAAGAACAACCACTTTGCCTAACCAACCACTCTCACCTCTCTTTCACCTCCGCCACTCCCTGCGAGCACCATCTGTTACGTATCTGAATTGTCACCCCTTACCCATCAAGAAGAACAACCACTTTGCCTAACCAACCACTCTCACCTCTCTTTCACCTCCGCCACTCCCTGCGAGCACCATCTGTTACGTATCTGAATTGTCACCCCTTACCCATCAAGAAGAACAACCACTTTGCCTAACCAACCACTCTCACCTCTCTTTCACCTCCGCCACTCCCTGCGAGCACCATCTGTTACGTATCTGAATTGTCACCCCTTACCCATCAAGAAGAACAACCACTTTGCCTAACCAACCACTCTCACCTCTCTTTCACCTCCGCCACTCCCTGCGAGCACCATCTGTTACGTATCTGAATTGTCACCCCTTACCCATCAAGAAGAACAACCACTTTGCCTAACCAACCACTCTCACCTCTCTTTCACCTCCGCCACTCCCTGCGAGCACCATCTGTTACGTACCTGAATTGTCACCCCTTACCCATCAAGAAGAACAACCACTTTGCCTAACCAACCACTCTCACCTCTCTTTCACCTCCGCCACTCCCTGCGAGCACCATCTGTTACGTATCTGAATTGTCACCCCTTACCCATCAAGAAGAACAACCACTTTGCCTAACCAACCACTCTCACCTCTCTTTCACCTCCGCCACTCCCTGCGAGCACCATCTGTTACGTATCTGAATTGTCACCCCTTACCCATCAAGAAGAACAACCACTTTGCCTAACCAACCACTCTCACCTCTCTTTCACCTCCGCCACTCCCTGCGAGCACCATCTGTTACGTATCTGAATTGTCACCCCTTACCCATCAAGAAGAACAACCACTTTGCCTAACCAACCACTCTCACCTCTCTTTCACCTCCGCCACTCCCTGCGAGCACCATCTGTTACGTATCTGAATTGTCACCCCTTACCCATCAAGAAGAACAACCACTTTGCCTAACCAACCACTCTCACCTCTCTTTCACCTCCGCCACTCCCTGCGAGCACCATCTGTTACGTATCTGAATCGTCACCCCTTACCCATCAAGAAGAACAACCACTTTGCCTAACCAACCACTCTCACCTCTCTTTCACCTCCGCCACTCCCTGCGAGCACCATCTGTTACGTATCTGAATTGTCACCCCTTACCCATCAAGAAGAACAACCACTTTGCCTAACCAACCACTCTCACCTCTCTTTCACCTCCGCCACTCCCTGCGAGCACCATCTGTTACGTATCTGAATTGTCACCCCTTACCCATCAAGAAGAACAACCACTTTGCCTAACCAACCACTCTCACCTCTCTTTCACCTCCGCCACTCCCTGCGAGCACCATCTGTTACGTATCTGAATTGTCACCCCTTACCCATCAAGAAGAACAACCACTTTGCCTAACCAACCACTCTCACCTCTCTTTCACCTCCGCCACTCCCTGCGAGCACCATCTGTTACGTATCTGAATCGTCACCCCTTACCCATCAAGAAGAACAACCACTTTGCCTAACCAACCACTCTCACCTCTCTTTCACCTCCGCCACTCCCTGCGAGCACCATCTGTTACGTACCTGAATTGTCACCCCTTACCCATCAAGAAGAACAACCACTTTGCCTAACCAACCACTCTCACCTCTCTTTCACCTCCGCCACTCCCTGCGAGCACCATCTGTTACGTATCTGAATTGTCACCCCTTACCCATCAAGAAGAACAACCACTTTGCCTAACCAACCACTCTCACCTCTCTTTCACCTCCGCCACTCCCTGCGAGCACCATCTGTTACGTATCTGAATTGTCACCCCTTACCCATCAAGAAGAACAACCACTTTTCCTAACCAACCACTCTCACCTCTCTTTCACCTCCGCCACTCCCTGCGAGCACCATCTGTTACGTATCTGAATTGTCACCCCTTACCCATCAAGAAGAACAACCACTTTGCCTAACCAACCACTCTCACCTCTCTTTCACCTCCGCCACTCCCTGCGAGCACCATCTGTTACGTATCTGAATTGTCACCCCTTACCCATCAAGAAGAACAACCACTTTGCCTAACCAACCACTCTCACCTCTCTTTCACCTCCGCCACTCCCTGCGAGCATCATCTGTTACGTATCTGAATTGTCACCCCTTACCCATCAAGAAGAACAACCACTTTGCCTAACCAACCACTCTCACCTCTCTTTCACCTCCGCCACTCCCTGCGAGCTGCCGTCCGTCACCGCGACCGTAACATCGACAACTCCCGCCGCCCGCAAATCCACAGCCAGCACCGGAATATCTTGCGGCCAGAAGTGGACGGCGCTACAGTCCAAAGGTTGCCGCCCCTGCTGCCGAGCCTGTCGGCGGTGAGTGTTTTTGGACTCAAACCGGACCACCAGCGGCTCCAAGCCTGCAGGACAGGCTCGGACGTGCGTTGTGGTGCTGCCAAGTGTCACGATGCGAGTGGCCAGAGCTGCTTGCTGTGGCTGCTTTGACTGTGAGGGTGGAAATACGTACGGTGGGGGAGAGGGATAGGAGGACAAATAACAGAGTTGACTTGAGTCAACTCAAAAGTCAACTAAGTGGCTAGGGCTGCTTGCTGTGCCTGCTTTGACCGTGAGAGTGGGGAAAAGATATGGCAGGAGGTGGGGGGCAGGAGAAACCCTTCAGTTCAGTTACATACACAATAGGTGGGTGGGTTGGGTTGCCTGATTTGACTGTGTGGGTGGGGAAAAAGACAGTGGGAGTGCAGGAGGACTTTCTGAGTTGATGGAAGTAAGGCCTCCGCAGCCCACCTGTCTTCTTTGACAGACAGTGGGAGTGCAGGAGGACTTTCTGAGGCACCTCAACAGCGGTTAGGGCTGCTGTCTGTGCTTGCTTTGACTGTGTGGGTGGGGACAAAGGATACAGCGTGGGAGCAGAAGGAACTAATAAGCACACACAACAGGTGGGTGAGGAGATGGTGGGGAGGAGATATTTCCTGGTGGAAAGATGTGGTGGTGAGGGTGTTTTCTGGTGGAAAGATGTGGTGGTGGGTGGAATGGGAAATATGGCGCCTGAGAAGGGACGAAGGATTTCCAAGGCACACACAGACACACGACAGGCAGGGAAACTGCAAGTGTCGGAGAGGTGACTTTTGAGTCGACTCAAAAGGCACACACAGACACACGACAGGCAGGGAAACTGCAAGTGTCGGAAGAGGTGACTTTTGAGTCGACTCAAAAGGCACACACAGACACACGACAGGCAGGGAAACTGCAATTGTCGGAAGAGGTGACTTTTGAGTCGACTCAAAAGTCACACACAGACACATGACAGGCAGGGAAACTGCAAGTGTCGAAAGAGAATCGGCGCGGAAAGCTTTTTTTGAGGCGCCTCAAAAGCGCAGAAAGCTACCTGGAAAGTCACCAAAGCCCGCAGCTGAGGTTCTACAGGGGCAGCCAAGGAATTTGATTCTCCAAAAGGTCTGCCAAGTCCCTCTTCTGATGTTTTTGCAGCTGCCCGAACAACAGATTCCTCCAATCGCAGGCTGTCCACCTGCCCGAATTTTTCAAGTGCTGCCCGAATCTGGGCTACACTGACCGATGGAGAGACATCAGTGAGTGTGACTGTAAAGAAGCTTGATTTCGCTGCAAGCGGAGGGAAAGACAAATTGTTGGCGGGCAGTCCGGAACCTTTTCCTGACCGTTCCACGACCCCCCTTCCTGCTCCTGCTGTTGCTGCTCCCTCCGAACCTAACCTCCCCAAGCCTGCACCTCCCGAACCTGCTGCCACCGAACCTGCTCGTTCCGAGCCTAAACCAGCGTCTTCACTCCTAGGAAGGGGCAAACCGTCAGCGGAACGCGATCGTGAAACGCGGGGTAATTGGGAGCTTAGAATCTCTAGCAGACTGCTTGAATCACTAAGCCCTGAAGCACTATGCCCTAAACCCTGAACCCTCCCCTGCTGCTGCCTCCTGCTACTCCCTGCCATGTGCTCCCCGTTTCTCACACCCCTCTCTGCCGTGTGCTTGCTGCCGCTCCCACTCTGCTGCTGCCACGTCACGTGCTGCTGCTGCCACGTCAGCTTGTCAACGTGGGCCCGGGTGGTTGGGGAGAGGAGCGGGAGGGTGTGTCTACAGGGAGAGATAGAGAGAGGCGCGGAGACAGGAGGAGGAGGAGGAGGAGAGAGAGGGGAGGAGTAGGAGGAGGGGGAGGAGGAAAAGGATGATGCAGAGGAGGAAGAGGAGGAAGCGGACGAGGAGGAGGAAGAGTGATGGGAAGAAGATAGAGCATTAAGAAAACCTTCCTCAGTCTTAAAATACACAACAGCACGTGTGCCCCTGCCACGTGTCCCCTTGTACAGCCTCACATCCACCACCTCTCCTCCTCGCCCCTCCATCATCTGCCACGTGTCCTCTTCTGATACGTCCGCAGGCAGCCCCGCTACCTGCACTCCATAGCAACACGGATACTCCCCATCCGTCCTCGTTATAGCCTGCCTCGCTGCAACGCCATTCCAAGGCCGTTCGCCTCTAGTAAAGGCAGCCGCGTCGTCTGAAGCACTCACACCCCCTTCCACAGCAACATCAGGGTCACCAAAACCGCCATCCCTCCTCAATATCTCCTCTTCCTCGCTTTTCTTCTGCTCTCTCGACCCTTCCGTGCCCCAGTCTTTCCCTCTCTCGCCCAAACCTCCCCGTTCTTGTGGGGCCTCCTCCCCCGTTCGCTCGATACCCTGTGGCCTAAGCAAAAGCCTGAGTGCGTCCAAGCCACTGCTGTTGCCGCTGCTACTGCCATTGCTACTGCTGCTCGTGCTGCTGCTGCTGCTGGTTGTAATGCTGCTGCAAATGTTGCTGCTGCTCCTACGCTCCTCCGACGCTCCGCCCTCTGTTCCTTCCGACGACGCTCTCAACCACTCAAGACCGGTTTCACCAGACGTCTCAAAACCCTCCACCGCTCCTAGCCTCTCAGGACCGGTTTTCCCAACCGCTCGCTCCCGCGCCGCCGCACCAACTCCTCCTGTCCCATCGCCCGCCGACGTGGTAGCTTCAATCGAATCCTGAAACACCTCAGTGCCGCTGCTGGCCCCACTGCTGGTAACGGAACAGTGCTTATCGGAGCTGCTGCAGACATCACTGCTAGCGTCTCTTCGACTTTCATCTCTTCGACTTTCATCTCTTCGACCTTTATCGGAGTTGCTGCTAACAGGACCGTCCGCATCGACCCTACTCGCGCTGCTATTCGTTGCACTCCCCACGGCAGAAGCGAGGTTCATAATCCGATTCAGCAAGCCGCGATCCGCCTGGATCTCGCCGAACCTGCTCTCTCGGGATCCGAACCTCTTTGTCCCGCCGAAGCTGTTGCCGGCTCCGAACCCCGTTGCTACCCCAGACCTCCCAGGAGGCTCGTCTGTCGGACGCTCGAGGTTCGGCGCTGCTTCGGTTGGATCCGATCTAAATATCGTGGTAACACGTCCTTCGTTTTCGCAGCTGTCACTACTATGACTGTGGAACGGTTCTCGTGCATCGCTCGAATGCAGCAGTCTCGCGAGTTGATTCGACAACGAATCCACATGATCGAGGGAATGGTTCGATTTGGCGCGGCGAGCGAGAGGGATTGCTGAAGATCGAGAACGAAAATGCTGGAGCGATCTGAGGCCGGAAGACGCCATTGATGCTACTACTACAGTGCGGCGCGACAGAAGGACATAAAGACACAGAACGGGTAGCTAAGACCGGTACGGCGCAGTGAACGCTTGGTCGTAGCGCCAGATTGGACGCGGGGAATTTATGGCTTCGGGCGCCGGCGTGATGTCGAACGGTGATCGCGGCGTGTACGAGCTGAGCGGTATGATTTGATCACTGATCGCCCCCCCTTCTCTGCTGCTGAAATCTTCTCGGTGACTGTCACGAGCAAAAACGCGCAACAGGAAAACTCGTTGAACGGTAAAGCTGCCGAAATTCCCCTTTCTGCAAATTTGGTTGCATATGGTTGCAAAGACAAACAGCTTCCTGGTTTTTGAAAAGTGAGGGTCTGCGGACTGACATGTTGGTAGCGGTTCGGTGTCAGTTCGTATAACGAATGTGCCAGATGACCACTGGCGGGCTTTTCCCGAGACCCCAAACCAAGGCCCATGTTTCAGCACCCGGGATGAGGGTACTGTATTGGGATATCTGTGCGAATTCGTGCATTCGTCAGTCCGAAACGGCAGACTTTGTTACCCACTGCGAATATACCTTCCTTGAAACTGAGTATGGGCGAAACATGAAATAAGCTCGTCAATGGTAACTACACCTCATTCGGTTCGGCAGTCATGGCAATGGCAGAGCAAGGAACAGCATGACCATGAACAGAGCCGAGCCGTTTTTTTGGGTTTCCCGCCAAATGCATGTCACCTTGACAACTCCACCAAAGACCAAGGAGCTCACCACACCACCGTTAGGAATTACCTGATCGTGCCTCGCGGTTCAGCCCGAACAAGACAGTTAGAGCTGGCTGGTCAGCTCTCTAGATTCTTGCGTTTCGTTACCCCGCGCCGCCATTCGATCACGCATTTCGTAGTGACGTGGCTTTTGTAGTAGCTAGTATCTTTAGTATCGTTTCTTACGAAAGGACGAAGATTGCGAGTGTCATTGTTTGGTCCATCATCGTCGTTCTGATGGCGTAGTAGTGCTAGACTCCGAAGACAGTCAAGACACACCTAGGCCGGCACGTTGTAGATACACGTTTAGGTGGACGTCTTTCTGCTTTAGTGGGGTCTCCAACAAGCATGGATTTGAGCTACTAAATAATGAGAGCCCTCCAGCCTTGGTGTGTTGGGTAGTCGAATAAGTACATGTAGGCACCCAGTTAGCAGTATCGTTCACGTCACAATCTGCAGCTAATTAGCCAATCTGCACCGCCATCGACATCACACAGAAAGCTTGCGATGGGACGACCAGACACGCGAAGAGCGCAGAAGATTCGTATCCTCGTTATACACACTTTCTCTCTTCGCCAAGCCACTCGCACTTTTCCAGCAAAATCTGGTTCGGTTTGCAAGTCCATTCCTGTGCTCGTTCCCCTCTTCTTCCCAACTATAAAACTATACAACCTCTTTTCAGCTTTCCCGGCTTTTGCTCTTCCGTCTTCGATACAGTATTCTCCCTTTCTTTTTTTATCACCATCCTGGTTTCCTTAACTCGCTGATTTACCACGTACCTGTAACACGTAACTTAACGGCAACCAGAAACGTTCGCGGCGCACACAGCCAGCGTAAAATGCGTGAGCATCGGGCGGAAGACGGGCGAAAGGGTGATTACGGGCGGCGACGACAAGAAGCTGCTCCTCTGGTCCACCCACGACCGCGAACCGCTGCTCGTAAGTGTTGGTAACAGCGCACTGGTAACCCGTTTAAGCGAATAAATTTCTGTTCGGGGTGTCGACGACAAGAAACTGCTCCTCTGGTCCACCCACGACCGCGAACCGCTCCTCGTAAGTGTGGTAACAGCGTGCTGGTAACCCGTTTGAAGCAAATGAATGTCAATTAAGTAGCGGCGTCAAAAAGCTGCTCCTCTGGTCCATCCACGACCGCGAACCTCTGCTCGTAAGCATGGATAAATTGTACGGCCAAGATAGAGTCATTGCGGGTAGCAATATCAAGAAGTAGCAGGTCAGTTCCATTCACGAGCGGAAACCGCTGCGGAGAGCGCAGTGGAGAGCGCTCCTTCTGAGCAGACTCTGCATGCAGTGCTTTTTCTCTACCTACGCCCGTCTCTTCCGAATCTTGGTTCCTTTCACTCCGTCCCACATGCGCCCTGCCATGGCAGAAGCTCAGCGGCAACACTAGCGCAGTGGAGAGCGCTTCGATGAGCAGTCATTGTGCATGTTCCTCTTGCCATCTACTCACCGCCTCTATCTACATTCTCTCTCTCCATCCACATTCCTGTCTACGCATCCACACCTGCTGAACCATGGCAGAAACTGAGTGGCAACACCAGCGCCGTGGAGAGCACGCTGCTGAGCAGTCTCTGCGCCCAATGCACTTTCGCTCACTGCCTTTTCGCTCACTGCCTTTTCGCTCACTGCTGTTTCTCTCCATCCACAACTCTACCTCTCCACCCGTCTCTGCCATCCCATGGCAGAAGCTGAGTGGCAACACCAGCGCCGTGGAGAGCACACTGCTGAGCAGATCGGAGGACCAGGCGATCTCGGGCGTGCTGAGTGGCTCTGTGAAGCTGTGGGACCTCAACGAGGGCAAAGGTGAGGCATCCACGCACTGTGTGTGACGCTCAGTGTGTTCAGGAAGCCAGCGATAGGAGAGAGTGCCGCTGAGCAGATCGGAGGACCAGGCCATCTCGGGCGTGCTCAGTGGCTCTGTGAAGCTGTGGGACCTCAACGAGGGCAAAGGTGGGTGGGCCATTTGAGTGAATCTAATCGGGACGTGCGCTGCTGAGCAGATCAGAGGACCAGGCGGTCTCAGGCGTGCTCAGCGGATCTGACAAGCTATGGGACCTCAACGAGGGCAAAGGTGAGGCACGCTCTGTGAAGCTTACCAGGACTGACTGTGAGGCGGGCCAAAGGTGAGGCACGCTCTGTGAAGCTTACCAGGACTGACTGTGAGGCGGGCCAAAGGTGAGGCATCAAATTGTGGAGCTAGCAAGTGGAGAGTGCGCTGCTGAGCAGATCAGAGGACCAGGCGATCCCGGGCGTGCTCAGTGGATCTGTGAAGCTGTGGACCTCAACGAGGGCAAAGGTGAGGCAACCACGCACTGTGTGTGAAGCTCAGTGTGTTCGTGAAGCTAGCGAGAGAAGAGAGCGCCGCTGAGCAGATCAGAGGACCAGGCGATCCCGGGCGTGCTCAGTGGATCTGTGAAGCTGTGGGACCTCAACGAGGGGGAAAAGGCGAGCCTTTTAGAGTGAAGATCTTTGGGACTAATTGGAACTAGGGCAAACTACCCCACATTCTAGCTGTGGTTGCAGTGTCTGTGCCAGCACAAAACCAAATGAGTCGTGCACTGCCAGGGTGTGGGACCTGCAGCGGAGGGAGCCGGCTGGCAGGGTCATATCTCTTGACCTCTACCCACCTGTCGCCCTGCTTCTCATGACAAGCCTTTCCTTCCCCCAACCCAACCCGACCTCCCCCAACCCCCCCACACCTCCCCCAGCCGGGCCACCGGGGGTTCAGCCATTGCTCTGAACTCCTCCCACGCAGCTGTTTCCTTTTCCTCTGCTTCATCCCCCATCTCCCCCTCCCCACCCCAACCCCCTCCCTCCACCACCCACCCTCACCAGCCGTGCGCACCCTGACAGGTCACAGGGGGTCGGCTGTCTTGCTGGACGTCCGCCCACGTGACCGCATGCCCCACCCCACCTTCTCTTCCCTTCCTTTCCTCCCTCCCCCCACACGCACTCACACCAGCCGTGCGCACCCCAACGGGTCACAGGGTTTGGTTGTCTCATTGGACCCCTCTCGCCCTGCTTCTCATACCCCGCCCACCGCCCCCAACACCTTCCCCTCCCCGGGCACCCCCCCACCCCCACCTAACCTCCCCCAGCCGTGCGCACGCTGACGGGTCACAGGGAGTCAGCCCTCTCGCTGGACTTCCTGCCCTCTGTTACTCTATGCCCTCTTCTCCCCCCATCCCCCCCACTCCCCCCACCCCTCCAAACACACACACCCACACCAGCCGTTCGCACCCTAACAGGCCACAGGGGGTCGGCCCTGTCGCTGGACTTCCACCCCTTTGAGCCCAACAGCCTGGTCCCCTGCCAATGTTCCTCCCCCCTCCACTGCAACCCCTCCCACACCAGCCGTGCGCACCCTGACGGGCCACAGGGGGTCGGCCCTCTCGCTGGACTTCCACCCCTTTGAGCCGTTCTTTGCATCGGGCTCCCAGGATTCCACTACCAAGGTGTGGGACCCGACAACCTCTCCTTCTGCCAATTCCCTCCTCCCCCACCCCTGCTTCCCCCTCCCAGCCGTGCGCACCCTGACGGGCCACAGGGGGTCGGCCCTGTCGCTGGACTTCCACCCCTTTGAGCCCAACAGCCTGGTCCCCTGCCAATGTTCCTCCCCCCTCCACTGCAACCCCTCCCACACCAGCCGTGCGCACACCGACGGGCCACAGGGGGTCGGCCCTCTCGCTGGACTTCCACCCCTTTGAGCCGTTCCATGCATCGGGTTCCCAGGATTCCACTGCCCGCGTGTGGGACCCAACAACCCCTCCTTCTGCCTATTCCATCTTCTCCCCCCCGCCCCAACGCTCCACCCACACCAGCCGTGCGCACGCTGACAGGCCACATGGGGTCGGCCCTCTCGCTGGACTTCCACCCCTTTGAGCCGTTCCATGCATCGGGTTCCCAGGATTCCACTGCCCGCGTGTGGGACCCAACAACCCCTCCTTCTGCCTATTCCATCTTCTCCCCCCCGCCCCAACGCTCCACCCACACCAGCCGTGCGCACACCGACGGGCCACAGGGGGTCGGCCCTCTCGCTGGACTTCCACCCCTTTGAGCCGTTCCATGCATCGGGTTCCCAGGATTCCACTGCCCGCGTGTGGGACCCAACAACCCCTCCTTCTGCCTATTCCATCTTCTCCCCCCCGCCCCAACGCTCCACCCACACCAGCCGTGCGCACGCTGACAGGCCACATGGGGTCGGCCCTCTCGCTGGACTTCCACCCCTTTGAGCCGTTCCATGCATCGGGTTCCCAGGATTCCACTGCCCGCGTGTGGGACCCAACAACCCCTCCTTCTGCCTATTCCATCTTCTCCCCCCCGCCCCAACGCTCCACCCACACCAGCCGTGCGCACGCTGACAGGCCACATGGGGTCGGCCCTCTCGCTGGACTTCCACCCCTTTGAGCCGTTCCATGCATCGGGTTCCCAGGATTCCACTGCCCGCGTGTGGGACCCAACAACCCCTCCTTCTGCCTATTCCATCTTCTCCCCCCCGCCCCAACGCTCCACCCACACCAGCCGTGCGCACGCTGACATGCCACAGGGGGTCGGCCCTCTCGCTGGACTTCCACCCCTTTGAGCCGTTCCATGCATCGGGTTCCCAGGATTCCACTGCCCGCGTGTGGGACCCAACAACCCCTCCTTCTGCCTATTCCATCTTCTCCCCCCCGCCCCAACGCTCCACCCACACCAGCCGTGCGCACGCTGACAGGCCACATGGGGTCGGCCCTCTCGCTGGACTTCCACCCCTTTGAGCCGTTCCATGCATCGGGTTCCCAGGATTCCACTGCCCGCGTGTGGGACCCAACAACCCCTCCTTCTGCCTATTCCATCTTCTCCCCCCCGCCCCAACGCTCCACCCACACCAGCCGTGCGCACGCTGACAGGCCACATGGGGTCGGCCCTCTCGCTGGACTTCCACCCCTTTGAGCCGTTCCATGCATCGGGTTCCCAGGATTCCACTGCCCGCGTGTGGGACCCAACAACCCCTCCTTCTGCCTATTCCATCTTCTCCCCCCCGCCCCAACGCTCCACCCACACCAGCCGTGCGCACGCTGACAGGCCACATGGGGTCGGCCCTCTCGCTGGACTTCCACCCCTTTGAGCCGTTCCATGCATCGGGTTCCCAGGATTCCACTGCCCGCGTGTGGGACCCAACAACCCCTCCTTCTGCCTATTCCATCTTCTCCCCCCCGCCCCAACGCTCCACCCACACCAGCCGTGCGCACCCTGACGGGCCACAGGGGGTCGGCCCTCTCGCTGGACTTCCACCCCTTTGAGCCGTTCTTTGCATCGGGCTTCCAGGATTCCACTACCAAGGTGTGGGACCCGACAACCTCTCCTTCTGCCAATTCCCTCCTCCCCCACCCCTGCTTCCCCCTCCCAGCCGTGCGCACCCTGACGGGCCACAGGGGGTCGGCCCTGTCGCTGGACTTCCACCCCTTTGAGCCCAACAGCCTGGTCCCCTGCCAATGTTCCTCCCCCCTCCACTGCAACCCCTCCCACACCAGCCGTGCGCACACCAACGGGCCACAGGGGGTCGGCCCTCTCCCTGGACTTCCACCCCTTTGAGCCGTTCCATGCATCGGGTTCCCAGGAGTCCACTGCCCGCGTGTGGGACCCAACAACCCCTCCTTCTGCCTATTCCATCTTCTCCCCCCCGCCCCAACGCTCCACCCACACCAGCCGTGCGCACGCTGACAGGCCACATGGGGTCGGCCCTCTCGCTGGACTTCCACCCCTTTGAGCCGTTCCATGCATCGGGTTCCCAGGATTCCACTGCCCGCGTGTGGGACCAACAACCCCTCCTTCTGCCATTTCCCCCCGTCCCCAAAACACCAGCCGTGCGCACCCTAACAGGCCACAGGGGGTCGGCCCTCTCGCTGGACTTCCACCCCTTTGAGCCGTTCTTTGCGTCGGGCTCCCAGGACTGCACTGCCCGCGTGTGGGACCCGAGGCAGAAGGAGGCAGTGCACGTGCTGAAGAACCATGGGAAGGGCGTGGCGTGTGTGCGGTTTAGTCCGGATGGGCAGTGGCTGATGACAGGCGGGCAGGACTCGGTGATCAAGGTGAGGTGGGAGAAACGCAGGGGAAAGGAGGGGGGGGAGATAGGGATAGAAGGGCGAAGGCAGAGGGACGCAGTGCATAGTTTGAAGACGCAGGGCAAAGGCGTGGGTTGTGTTCGGCTCAGCCCGGATGGGCAGTTGTTCATGACATGCGGGCAGGACTCGGTTATCAAGGTGAGAGCAAAGAAATGCAGGGGAAGGGAGCGAGGGGAAATGGGGATAGAAGGGGGAATGCAGGAGGCATTGGTTAAGGTGAGACATTCTTGGGAAAGTGTGGAAGGTGAGAGATGAGGGACTTTGAGCATGTGTGTGCGGTTCAGCGCCTGCCCGGATGGGCAGTGGCTGATGACAGGCGGGCAGGCAGGACTCGGTGATCAAGGTGAGGTATGAGGGGGTGAGTGGGGGAGGAGGGAGGAGGGGGAGGGATAAAGGAGGGGGATAGGAGGGAGGAAAGGCAGAAGGTGCTGCACTTGTTGGCACCCTCGGAGTGACTATCCCTATCCCTACCCTACACTCTCTCCCCCACCTCTCTCTCACAGCTGTGGGACGTGCAGGCGGGCAAGCTGTTGCACGAGTTGAAGGTTCAAGCCTCTGTGTGTCCCTAACCCCATGCTCCTCACCCACTCTCTCCCCTTTCCCACAACCTATCCTTCCCATGCAAGCAGCTATGGGACGTGCAGGGGTGTAAGGTGTTGCACGAGTTCAAGCACCACCACGACGCCGTCACCTGCTCCTGCCTCACCTGCCCCTGCCTCACCTTACTATCCACTCTTTGTCACTTGCCCTGTCCCTGCACCCCCCCTTGCAAGCAGCTGTGGGACGTGCAGGCGGGCAAGGTACTGCACGAGTTCAAGCACCACCACGACGCCGTCACCTGCCTCACCTTCCACCCGCACGAGCTGCTCCTTGCTAGCTGTAAGAGGCGCTGTTATCCTGCTTTTAATATCTAGGCCTCCACCCGTTGTCACCTGCCTCACTCTCCACCCACACGAGCTGCTGCTCGCCTCATGTCAGTGCTGCCCTCTCCCCCTGTGCCTTCTGAGAGTGTGTGCTCTGTACTGCCCGTCCAAGCACCACCACGATGCCGTCACCTGCCTCACTCTCCACCCACACGAGCTGCTGCTCGCTTCCTGTCAGTGCCGCCCGTCCCTGCTTCCCCTCGCCTACATGCCTGCCGTGACTGCCTGTCAGCTCCTCCCCTCCTGTCAGTGCCTGTCCACCCTGCTCTCATGATAACAAATCGTGCCCTTTGCTCTGAGGCACGTACGTATCCTGCTTCCTTGCCCTTCCCCCTTGCTCTAAGTGTACCTCTAACTTGACTTGTGCATGTGTGCATGTGTCTGGGTTTGTGTGCATGTGTTTGATTGAATGTGTGTGCCTGTGTGTACATGTGTGCATGCGTGTGCATGTGTGGATGTTCGAATGTGTGTGCATTTGTGTACATGTGTGCATGTGTGCTTGTGTGCCCATCTGTGTGCATGCATGCACCAGGCTCCAGTGACCGCACATGCAAGTTCTGGGACCTGGAGACGTTCGAGCTGGTGGGGTCTACAGGCACAGAGGTATGTTTCTGGTGGCGGTAGCAGGAGTGTAGATAGGGCACGTAGGTATGTCTAACTGTGCGCGAACATGGGTGCCCATGCACCAGGCTCCAGTGACCGCACGTGCAAGTTCTGGGACCTGGAGACGTTCGAGCTGGTGGGGTCTACGGGCACAGAGGTATGTTTCTGGCAGCCCCTACTAACACCCTTCTGCTCTCACCACTAATATCACTTGCACGTGCAAGTTCTGGGACCTAGAGACTTTTGAGCTGGTGGGGTCTACAGGCACGGAGGTAGGGTAACAAGGGGCGGAGATGGGTGCTCATGTGTGTATATGTGTGCAGTGCACATGCGCCAGGCTCCAGGGACCTGGAGACATTCGAGCTGGTGGGGTCCATAGGCACGGAGGTGCGTTGATGGTGGCGGCGGCAGAAGTGTAGATTGGGCATGTAGGTATGTTCAACTGTGCGCGCACATGCGTCCATGTGCATGCACCAGGCTCCAGTGACCGCACGTGCAAGTTCTGGGACCTGGAGACGTTCGAGCTGGTTGGGTCCACAGGCACGGAGGTATGTCTACCTGTGTGTGTGCATGTGTGCACATGCGCATGTGTGCATGTGTGCACATGCGCATGTGTAGGCACAGAGGTGTGTGATTGTTGGGCTGCACAGGCACAGAGGTAGGGTAGAAAGGGGAGGAGGTGGGTCAAAAGAAGAGTTAGGGTAAGAGGAGTGGAGGTGGGGTAAGAGGAGCAGAGGCAGGGAAAGAGGAGCAGGAATGGCAGCCTGGTTGAATACACACGGTGACTCTCTCCCACTAAAACCTCAAGTCTGCATCCTGTTGTGCCCCTGTTTATCCCTGTTTTCCGCTGTTTGCCCATATACCCCTGTGTGCCCCTGTTTACCCCTGTGTATCCCTGCGCCCCCCTGTGCCCCCCTGTTCTACTCTCTGGCCCTACACGTGTCTCTATTTTGTGCCTTGCCTTACACTGCAGGCCAGTGGCATGCGCTCACTAGCCTTCACTCCTGATGGCCAAGCGCTGCTAGCCCCCTCTGCCGACTCACTCAAGGTGGGTGCTGTGCTGCTTGCTACAATCTGCCGTGCCTCCATTGCAGGCCAGTGGCATGCGCTCACTAGCCTTCACTCCTGATGGCCAAGCGCTGCTAGCTCCTTCCGCTGATTCCCTCAAGGTGAGACGTCCGCAGGCCGGCCGCGTTGAGATGCTCTCTGCTGCTTGCTCGCTCTGCTGACTCGCTCAAGGTGCGCATTGCTTGCTCTGCTAGTGCCAGCTGTCTCCTTTTCGTCTCCTGGTCCTTCGATTTTCTCGATTCTTTTTGTGTCCTTTACCTCCTGTCGCCCCTAGCAATAAACTTCTCCACATCTTTGCTTTCTTTGCCCACATTTTCCCTCTTGCGTTCTCCAACCATCGGCATGTGTGGGTGGGAGCTTGTGTGGTTGCTCTTCAGATCACCTCCTTGCTTCCCATCCGCAGGTGTGGGTGTGGTGCGGGAGCCGACTTTACTTTTGAGTCGATTCAAAAGTCAACTCGTGTGGTTGCTCTTCGAATCACCTCCTTCCTTCCCACCCGCAGGTGTGGGTGTGGTGTGGGAGCCCGTGCACTGCTTCGACACGGTCAGCGTGGGGTGGTGAATGGTGGTAGAAACACCACTCATTCCCAACCCATCCTCTTCACCTCTCTTCACCTCTCTCTACCACTTCACCTCTCTTCTCCTCTCTCCTGCAGGTGTGGGGGTGGGAGCCCGTGTGCTGCTTCGACACGGTCAGTGTGGGATGGTCCAAGGTGGCTACAGACACGCCTCATTCCCACCCCATCCTCTTCACCTCTTTTGACCTCTCTTCACCTCTCTCCACCACTTCACCTCCCATCCGCAGGTGTGGGGGTGGGAGCCCGTGCGCTGCTTCGACACGGTCAGCGCGGAGTATGGGTGAGGGAGCTTGTGCGCTGCTTCGACACTGTCAGTGTGGGATGGTGGACGGTGCGAGAAACACCACTCTTTCCCTCCCCAACCTCCCCACCTCTCTTCACCTCACTCCACCACTTCACCTTCTCTCATCCTCCCATCCCTTGCAGGTGTGGGGGTGGGAGCCCGTGCGCTGCTTCGACACGGTCAGCGTGGGATGGTCCAAGGTAGCTGACGTCAGCATTCACGACGGCAGGCTGTACGGCGCCTCGTTCTCGCACACCTGCGTCAGCCTGTGGCACGTCGACCTCATGGTATGGCACCAAGTATAAAGTGCATGCTTCATGTCATTCTGTGCCTGTGTATAGCCCATTGTACAACGTTTCCCCATATAGCAGCAGGCTGTATGGCGCCTCCTTCTCGCACACCTGCGTCAGCCTGTGGCACGTCGACCTCATGGTATGGCACCAAGTATAAAGTGCATGCTTCATGTCATTCTGTGCCTGTGTATAGCCCATTGTACAACGTTTCCCCATATAGCAGCAGGCTGTATGGCGCCTCCTTCTCGCACACCTGCGTCAGCCTGTGGCACGTCGACCTCATGGTATGGCGGTGTGGTGCTGCTATGCTGTCATCTCATGCACGGTGCTGCCATGCCATGGTATGGTAATGGTACTACGTTTCCCTCAATAGCAGCAGGCTGTAGGAGAGGAGGCCTCCTTCGCCCACACCTGCGTCAGCCTGTGGCACGAGGACCTCATGGTATGGCATGCTTTTATGGTACGACGTTTTGCCCCGGTTGTCCCCTCCAGCAAGTGGCACCATTTGGATCTAGTGCCTCTGAGAGCACGGAGGAAGGAAGAGAGGAGTCTCTCAGGGACCACCATGGGGCTGCCCCTGCCTGCCTCGCCCTCTGCCTCTACCTATCTTATCCTCTCTGTTTTGCCCCGGTTGTCCCCTCCAGCAAGTGGCGCCGTTTGGATCTAACGCCTCTGAGAGCACGGAGGAGGGGAGCAGCCTGTCAAGCACCTGTGTCTCTATGAACGTCATTCCCCCTTTCCTTCCCCCCCTCAGCAAGTGGCGCCGTTTGGATCGAGCGCGTCAGAGAGCACGGAGGAGGAGAGGAGCCTGTCAGGCACCACGATGGGCCTGCCCCTCCCCGCCTCGCCCACCACCTCCACCGTCTCCTCCACTGTCTCCTCGGTGTCAACGCCTGTGCACTCCCGTGCACCGTGCTTCCAAGGTGGGTAACTAGGCATGGGAGTGTACCCTTGCTTGCTTGCTTGCCTGCCCCTGCCTGCCTCGCCCACCACCTCCACCGTCTCCTCTACCGTCTCCTCCGTGTCAACGCCTGTGCACTCGCGTGCACCATGCCATCAAGGTGGGTAACTAGGCATGGGAGTGTACCCTTGCTTGCTTACCTGCCCCTGCCTGCCTCGCCCACCACCTCCACCGTCTCCTCCACTGTCTCCTCAGTGTGAACGCCTGTGCACTCCCGTGCTCCTTGTTTCCAAGGTGGGTGCCTAAGTGTGGGTTTGTACCTTTGCTTACCTCTCCCCGCCTCGCCCACCACCTCTCCCATCTCCTCCACCGTGTCTTCTGTGTCCACGCCTGTGCACTCTGCTGCTACCGCCCGCCCGTGCCCCGTGCCTCCAAGGTGGGTCGATTTTTGAGTCGACTCAAAAATCTGCTGCTACCGCCCGTGCTCCGTGCCTCCAAGGTGGGTCGATTTTTGAGTCGACTCAAAAATCTGCTGCTACCGCCCGTGCTCCGTGCCTCCAAGGTGGGTCGATTTTTGAGTCGACTCAAAAATCTGCTGCTACCGCCCGTGCTCCGTGCGTCCAAGGTGGGTCGATTTTTGAGTCGACTCAAAAATCTGCTGCTACCGCCCGTGCTCCGTGCGTCCAAGGTGGGTGTGTAGGCGTGGGCTTATTTCCCTTGCCCACCTCACCCACCACCTCCACTGTCTCCTCGTGTCAAACCCCAGCATTATACTGTTAATGCTCATGCACCATTTTATCAAGGCGGGTCCCGTCCCTTCCCCCTCACCCCACCAGCACCACCACCACCACCACCACTACCACCACCACCACCACCACCACCACCACCACCACCACCACCACCACCACCACCACCACCACCACCACCACCACCACCACCACCACCACCACCACCACCACCACCACCACCACCACCACCACCACCACCACCACCACCACCACCACCACCACCACCACCACCACCACCACCACCACCACCACCACCACCACCACCACCACCACCACCACCACCACCACCACCACCACCACCACCACCACCACCACCACCACCACCACCACCACCACCACAACTAGCACCAGCAGCAGCAGCAGCACCACAACTAGCACCACCAGCAGCACCAAAACCACCAGTCTCCCAGAGCAGTTTCCATACACCGCACTCGGCAGATCTCTCCTGTCAAGGGCGAGAGCATAGGTCACCTAACCCTCCTGTGTCTCCCTTCGCCCCTTCCGCCTTTCTTCTTCCCCCCCTCCACCAGGTACCCCCGCCAATCGCTCCCCCCACCACCACTCCTCCCCATCACCCCACCAGCATCACCACCAGCACCAACACAACCAGCACCACCCCCATCAGCATCAGAACCACCACCACCCCCATCAGCAGCAGAACCACCAGTCCCCCACAGCAGCATCTATACACCGCACTCGACAGGTGTCCCCCATCAAGGGCGAGAACTCAGCAGGTCCGAGCCACAAGGCAAGCGCTGAGTCGACTCAAAAGTCAACTCAAAAGGCAGGTCCGGACCACAAGGCAAGCTTGGGGAGCTCTGGAGGGGGCAGGTTCGGGTTTCGTGGGGGTGCGGGCGGGGTGGGGGCAGGAGGGGGAGGTGTGGGAGGGGAGAGTGCGGGGGTGGGGAGTGGAGGGGGGAGAGGGCGGAGAGTGTCCGTGGGAGGAGTGGGGGAGCAGTGGGGTAGGGGTGCTGGGTCCGTGAGTGGTAGGGAGGTCAGTATCGGAGCGGCAGGAGGAGGAGGAGGAATGGGAAGGGGAGGGGGAGTGGGAGGAGGAGGGGCAGGAGGGGCAGCTGGGGGGGGAGGCGCGGGAGGGGCAGCAGGGGGTAGTTTCAAAGAAGTGGGGGCAAGGGGAGGGCGGAGAGCATCTGTATCGGGCGGTTATGCAATCTCCAAGGGGGAAGATTCCTCTTCCTCTGCCAGACGAGGGGAGGGGGCCTTTGGCAAGGGCACCAGAGAGGAGGCGCAGGGAGTCCGTTCGCAAAACCCTTTTGAGACGTCTCATAAGATTCCTAGAGAAAACCCCTCTGGGTCTCATAAGATTCAAGCGTTTCTGGACGCTGGAGGGGTGGTTGTTGATGCGACTGCACGCCCTGCACGGCATCGGGTGGGGGAGGATGATGGTGATGGGAGGTTGGGTGGGTCAGACGTGGGTGGTGGTCACCAGTCTCATAAGATTCAGGAGTTTCTGGACGCTGGAGGGGTGACTGGGGCTGTGATTGCACACTCTGCACGGCGTGGGGTGGGGGATGATGGTGATGGGAGGTTGAATGGGAGGTTGAATGGGTCAGACGTGGGTGGTGGTAACCAGTCCCGTAAGATTCAGGAGTTTCTGGACGCTGGAGGGGTGACTGGGGCTGTGGTTTCACACTCTGCGCAGCGTGGGGTGGGGGATGATGGTGATGGGAGGTTGGGTGGGTCAGACGTGGGTGGTCACCAGTCTCATAAAATTCAAGAGTTTCTAGATGCTGGAGGGGTGACTGCTGCTGCTGCTGCTGCTGTTGCTACAGACAGAAGTCACAAGGGCAATCACGCATGCGCAGGGGCGGACTCCTTTCGCTCGACTGCTCCAGGAGTAGCAGCACCAGGAAAAGCAGCAGCTGGGGCAGATTCAGATACCTCTGCCACACCGGCAGTAGCAGCCTCTGTGTTTCCCAATCGTGTCCAGCCAGCTGGTGTGCCTGATGGTGGTACAGAAGCAGGCGCATCTGCTTCCAGCACACAGGCAGGCGTATCTGCTTCAGGCGCACCTACAGGCGTATCTGGTGCAGGTGGTATTCTGGGAGGGATGTCTGGCTTCGGCGTGACGTTTGACTGGAGCAGAGCAGTGGCGACTGCAGGAGGGGGCGCGGGCAGCAGGGCGGCTACAGTGGTAGAGGCGATGAATAAAGTGTCTGACTGGATCGGGTCGTTCTCTGGCCTGGAGGATAGCTTGGGAGGGGGAGGAGGGGGCAGGAAGGAGGTGGGGTATGCGAGAGGGGAGGCGGGCGGGGATGGGAATGGGGTTGGGAATGAGGAGGGGAGAGGAGAGGAGCGGAGGGGGGGGAGTGAGGGGAGTGAGGGGAGTGGGGAGGGGAGAGGAGCAGGGGTGCAGAGAGTTGGGTCTGGGCAGATTAGCGGGTGGAGCGAGGACGAGGAGGGAGAGGGTGAGGGTAACGGTGGGGAGAGGAAGAGCGATGGTGCTGCTGCGAGTGATGGTGGTGTTGCTAGTGGTGGGGCGGCTGTTAGGAGTGCGACTGTGGGGGGTAAAGCATCGGTGCCAAGTCTTCGAGCCCCGTATGCTTTGGATGGAGAGGGGGAAAGGAAGGAGGAAAAGAAACGAGAGGAGGGTGGAGAGAAAGCAGATATGCACAGGTCTGGGCAGGGGGAGGAGGAGCATTCAACAACCCTAGAATGGAGTCGGAGTGAGGATGACAAGTACAAGATCCGGCCATCTATTCTCCACCCGCCTTACGCTGTAGAGGTGGAGGAAGGAGGGGTGGAGGGCACTGCTGGTGGGGATGGGAGAGGTGGCAGTGACAGTATGAGGAGGCATGGGTCTGCCGGGGAGAGGGTGAGGGAGTGCGAGGATAGGGGCATTGGCTTGGTGGTGTCTGCATCTGCTTCTGCGTCGTTACCGGCAGGAGGAGTTGTTAGAGAGGATGCTTGTAGAGAGTATGGCGGTGCACGTGGCGGTGCATGTCAGTCAGCAGTGCTGGCTTCTTCGTCCTTGGCATATTCTCCCTCCGCCTCCTCCCCTCCCTCCTCCTCCTCGCTGTCTTGTAGGGCAGAGGCAGGGGCAGACAGGGGTGTGGGAGCAACGGGAGGAATGGGAGGAGAAGGAGTGGGAGGGGGAGCAGGAGGGGCAGGAGGGGCGGGGGATTTGATACCAGCTGGAGCGATTGGAGGGGTAGGGAGCGGGAGGCTGGGTAGACATGTCGGCTTGTCTCCTCTCTCCCCACGCTCGCATGCAGCACAGGTGCAGTCAGCACAGGTGCACGTGCCAGAAGTGCAAGCAGTGCAAGGCAGAGCAGCAGCCGGAGCTGCAGCATCCGTGGCAGGAGCAGCACAAAACAGGACAGCAAGTGCTCAGCATTCTTTAGGAGCAGGCGGAGCAGCTGGGGCAGCAAGGGCAGCGGGTGCACGAGGAGCATCAGCAGCAGGAGCAGCAGGGAGCGTGCTGCAGTGGTCGATGAAAGTGAATGTGGATGAATTCGCACAGGTGAGCGGAGAGGACCGGGAGGATCAAGGGAAATTTGGGGTTGTTGCACCTATAGAGCGTTCTGCAGTGGTCGATGAAAGTGAATGTGGACGAATTTGCAGAGGTGAGTGGAGACTGCAGCTCATGCTGCAGCGACTAACGCATTTACCCTTGCCTCCTCCCACCCCCACTCCCCATCCCCTCCCCAGCCCTCTTTACCCTTACCCACGCTATGCTGCAGGGGTGGCTCTCTGCAGTGCAGCTCACTGCCATGCATGCAGCACACGCTGCACTGATTAACACATTTACCCTTGCCTCCTCCCACACCCATTCCCCACCCCCTCCCCAACCCTCCTTACCAAGCAAGCAGCAGAAGCAGCAAGAGGAGGAGGAGGGAGACGAGGAGGATGACGAGATGGTGGTGATGGAGAGTGTGAATGGACGGCACATTGCCATGCAGCACATGCTGCAGGGAACAACGCATTTACCCTTGCTCCCCCACCCACCCCAATATGCCTTCCTTCCTTTCCCAGCCTCCATTATCATCCAAGCAGCAGAAACGCCAAGAGGAGGGGGGAGACGATGAAGACGATGAGATGGTGGTGATGGAGAGTGTGAACGGGCGGCACACAGCCATGCAGCACATGCTGCAAGGGAGGCTCTCTGCAGTGCGCCACGTGGCAGCGCTGTGGGTGGATGGAGAACTGCTGCCCGCCCTCTCTGCCCTCGCCGCTTCAAAGGACCTTGCTGTGAGTGCACCACAAGCACCTTGCACTGACACC